GGTGCCCGTGTAATCCAGGAAAATACGTAGGCCGTTAATTTGTGGTTACTTGCTAATTCATCTGCACGTAGCAGACGAGGTAATTAGCTGGACTTTCACGAAACTTTAAACCCCACGGTTTCAAAGCCCCAGTGGAAAGTATATTCAAGCGTACTACAGCAGATTTGTCAGTAATGTATCATTCACCCTGCGATGTGCTTGGTTCCGTAAAAGCAATTAATGAGGCTTCTGGGATTCCTGGATCTTTTTCAGCCCATGGGTCACATAAGCGGAATTACCTGAGCTACTGACCATACAGTTTTTGCAGAGATTGTATTTAGTATTTTCATAGTTCAAACCGGATTCTAGATTTTAGTGGTTGCTTGGTGTTGCTAAAGCTAGCCACTGTTTTTGGCGTTATTATTGTATATTAACATGTTTCAAAGTATGCTTTTTGGAGAGGTAGCAACGCATAGCGTGATTACAGTAAGTAACTTTAATAGTCGTGTCATAAAATACTGCCCCCCCTCAAAAAAAATTCCTTGTTCACGACTTCTGAAAGACAACCGTCCGAAGGCGTATCCTATATACCTTACCTAAAAACCGTACCCAGGTGTCACGATAAATGTCGACTTCCTTCACCATTTTCTCCGAACCACTATCCATATGTAGATTGGGTCTCTAGCATAACCACATACGGCATGTCACAGGAATCGGTCCAAGAGTTACGAAATTGAGACGAGAAAAAATACTTCCGGTAGCCACCATGGATTTTTTTTTTTTCTTTTTCAAAATAAAAGTTCAGTTACCCGTTTGATAAAATGCGGCCATCTGTCTCGCAGGGCATCCTGTAATCTATCCCAGGCAGCAACGGGCACAAAGATGACATACACTCTGAATGGGATATTAGTCAATCGCAGGGCACATACACGTACAGACTCGTAAATTATTTAGAGATACCATTTACCCTAACTGCCAGTCTTCGGACTGGGGGAGGAAACACTGGACATGGGGAGACCATGCAGACTCTACACCAGGGGTGGCCAATCTTATCTGCAAAGGGCCGGTGTGTATGCGGGTTTAGCTGCAAATCACTAATTAGATTACTAATTAGAGGACTGTTTGGCTGAAGAGTCCTCACAGCTGGGTTTGAACAGCTGACCTACAGGTTATCCCAAAAACCTGCATACACACCGGCCCTTTGCGGATAAGATTGGCCACCCCTGCTCTACACACACATGCAGCAGAGGTAGAATTCGAACCCCCAGACCCGGAGTTCTGAGTCATTATGCCACCCTAATAACATGCAAAATAAAAATGCAAAATAATTAGGCTAAAGTGTGATGTGTTTTATCCATTTTGATAAATGCATCTGAAAACTGAACTTTTACAAAAACCGTATTTATTGATGTAAGCACAAAAAGTAACAAAATGAGTTTTACTTGAATGTAAAGTGAGGACTTTTGTTTGAAAGGAAGTGTTTTAGACTACCAGTGGTATTATGGTTACTGTAGTTCATCTTTTCCAAGGTTGAAAGCAGACACAATTATGGTTGTACTGTGAAAATGTGTAATTTATCATGTTATATGAGCCTTATGCAAATAAACTCCTCTCTAACAATTTGTTCATGTATGTTTGCCTATATACATTTTATGCAGACAATCTGTTCTAATAATAACATGACATTCACAAAGTCAATGTACTGGAATGTCTAGTGTTTCCTGCCTTGTGTCCTGTTGTGTTTCCCAACCTCGCACTGGATAAGCAGTTATGTAAGATTGGTGGATGAATAAGAAGAATTTTTTAATATATAAATGCCAGAGATTTATCAACTTATAGTGTGTCCACTGTAATATGAGAAATACCATAGAATTTTGACATAAATATGGAGTCCAGGGGAAAAATGGCTTGTTTTGCTGAAATGGAACCAAATGGTAGAATGCAAATGAGGGCTTGTATTACAGTTATCTATGTGTCAGTCCACAGAAGGCATCCAGCAGAACAATCCACGTTGTACCCTTTAAAAAAACAGTTGAATCTGCCAGTATCACTGGCATACTCCAATGGGGGGGTGATGGTGGCAGTTTGTGAAGTATTATTGGAATTATCATGGTGGTCAACGGGCTTTTCTTGGTTAGACAGCAAGTGAGAGAGCGGAGATGAGAGACGGACACATATGTCTCTGTTAGACAGAAGGATAGAAACAAGGAGGAAGAATGAAGATGGGGATAGAAAGAGGTCTGAAGTGAAAGGGCAAAGAGCAGAAAATCTGAATGCACAAGGAGAGGATGAGCATGATAGACTAGAAGTGCAAACAGAGGACGGCAGAGCTGTTTTCCTTAATAGTCCTGCTTTTCTCATTCCTTTGTGGTGAAAGTGAGTTACTTGTAAAAATGCGTATCTCTCTGTCTCTTTCTAAGCCAAAGGGTGATTATCCCTACCCACCCCTCACCCCATCCATTGCCGGAGAGTAAGCCTAGGACAATCCTGCCTGTCTGGATTTTCCTGTTTTTTTCCACTTAGTCTCAGCATTCCATCTTCCCCCTTGTTTTTATTCACCCCACCTTTTCTCCACCAAGATAAACACGCCCTGAAGGCCTTTCACATCCTGTGCGTCTCACCTGATCCATCCATCTTGCAACACCGGTGGGGTGTGTGGGTCCAGACCCAGCTAAAGCAGAAAGGGAAACGAACAGAGGTGGCTACAACTGGAACGCCGCGCCCTCACTAGAGGACAAAGCCTTACCAAGTAGACTCCTATAGCTCAACAAGTAGTGCATTATACTAACCATGCAATAATCATGGGTTCAAATCCCAAAGAGCACACATAAATTGTAGTTCTTCTCTCTACTGTAAGTCATTTTGGATAAAAGTGTTAGATTAAAGACCAAATTAATTTATATCAAGGGTCTCCAACTCCGGTCCTGGAGAGCTGCTGTCCAGTAGGTTTTCTATCCTATACCTGGCTTCTGATTAACCACATCTGTTCTCAGGAAAATACCAGGAACAGGTGTGGCTCATCTGAAGCCAAGTAGGATAGAAAACCTGCTGGAGAGTAGCTCTCAAGGACCAGAGTTGGAGACCACATAGACTTCACTGCCCCTGCAGTGAAAACAGTGAGATGGTAACTGCCTTGTGATATTAGGTGAAAATTGCCAAGTTTGTCCCCCACAATAAAATTTGGGGAAGGATAACTGAAGAGATTTGGCAAAATGGGCTAGGCTCTGTGAGTCTCACTAGTAAACCATCAGACCTGACACCTATGCACAGAAGCCACAGTTGGGTAAATAGTAAAATTGTGTTGAGGTCCAGTCAAATTGACGAGCATACAGATGGATACAAGTGATAACTGAGTATAACAGCGCCCCCTGCAGGTCTCACTGAAGTAAGACCACAGGCGCTGGCACAGACGTACATGAAGCCACAGGCACTCCGACAACTGCAGCCCCATAAGGAGGAAGAACATATGGAGGATAAGCGAAGACGAGAAACGAAGACAACACTACTGAAAAAGTCTGACTTGTATGTGTGTGTGACGTCTAAACTGCTTTTATTTATCCAACATAAAGCCTGTCCCCAACCATGCATGAAAATTGATTATATTCCATACATTAAAAGATTTTTTTTAATTAAAACAAAGAGATTTCTATAGATACCTACAAATGTCACCATTTTTATCAGGGAATGAAAGGGATCGATACAATAGAAACCTATAAAAGTAGTATCGTAGAGCCATTTTACACATAGTTGTACCAAAACTGTGTCTAAATTCTATAATGGTTTTTTGGCCCATAAGAGAGAATCCGCACAGTATATAAAAGGAAAATGGGAACAAGAAAGTAATCTAACAATATCTGAGGAGGTATGCGGAAATATTTGCACCATTCAATGGGAATGAATTCTGTCTAATAATTGGAGGGAGTTTTGCTGGAAGGACGTAATGAGGTTCCCTATTACACCCTCTCAGAAGAAGCATTTTTCAAATGGCTCAATGTGCAGAAGAAACTGTGGTGAAACAAAACGTTACTCACTAACACACTTTCTGTTACTCGTTGTGTTTGGGTGAGACATACATAAGGCCCTGGAGGCAGGGGCGTCAGAAGCATTTTCAATGTGGGGGGGGACGCACTGGCATAAAACTAATATTCTATGTTAAATGTGGGGTTGGGGGGTTCAAACGAATAATTATGAAATGTGAGGGGGACACATCCCCCTCAGATTTAATGGCAGTGACATCCATGCCTGGAGGGAAGACTAACTTTTCAGGTCCCTTATAAATTTGATACTCTTTATATGGGGAATATGCCTGGGAATACAGCTATAACAAAAGATAAATATATATTTAAAATAACTTTGGCTGCAAGTAAAATAGCTACAAGAAGAAAGTGGCTGCAGCCTGTACCACCTATGTCACATCACTATGACTTCCTGAACGTAATACAGGATATTTTTGTTATGGAAAGGATCACATTTGCTCTATGATTACAAAAAGAGAGATTTTATGAATATCCTGGTCTCTTGGTCTCTTAGCGCTATAGATGGCTGTAAAGATTTTTCATGTTAACAATGTTAGTTTATTTGATTAAGAAATATTGAGTTATCTCCCTGCTACTTACTCCTTATTTCTACATTTTTATTTCTAATTTTCTTTTGCATTATCTCCGATTTTTAAGATTTTTTTTCTATATTTACAAAATATATGAAAGGGGCTGCGGAAGGATATTTGTAAATTTGCATTTGTGATTTTCATGTGAACAACACCTCTTTCAATAAAATTCGAATTTAAAAAAAGAAAGAAAATTGATTATAATGCTGAAATGCTGAAGCATGCTCTATGATTCATTATACACACCCTTTTCTAGAATACAGACACTGCGCTGAAACAGGTTTTTCGTAAACCAATCGTGTCCCGCCGTCACCCGTCAGCTTTCTTCATAGTGGGTGGAGTCTTGAGGATTGAGTTCTTGTCCGAGGCACAATTGAGCCAATTAGCAAAGGACATAGAATTAAACAGACCAATAGGACGTCGAGGGGAGTGTCTTAAAACTGAAGGAGTATAATGGCCGCCACCATGTTAGAAAAAAAAATAGCTTTTGACAGTAGTTGGAACTCGTTCTTGCATTTTAGTTTCCATCGAAACATGACAAATAAAATGCACTGGATCATTCTATTGCTGCTTGCAATTTCAAGAAAATGCTGGTGTGAAGATGGTCATGAAATGGAAGAGTTTCTGAAGAGGGAGTACTCGCTGTCCAAGCCGTACCAAGGTAACGCGCTAGCTAGCATCGCAGGTTGCTAGCTTGCCTAGTACTGTATATGTTGATTAGGTCAGAGGTGTATTTACATTAACGCTAGGTGTCGAGTGATAAATGTGTTGAATGAGCATGGTTTACTTACGTTCGTTTTGTTCTAAATGCGTTATATAATGTAGTTAATCGCATTGCGAAATATGCAGCCATTCACTTTCAAATTAGCTATGAAATAAGCTGCGTACTGCTGACGAGAGAAACTGTGCGTCTCCGGGAATGATTGCAGTCTAAAATCACGACAATGACAAATCTTTTGCGTGACTAATACTTAATACGTAAAATAACTGAGTATTTTATCACCACATTTTTCCTTTCTTACAATTGTATATTATGAGTCAGGTGAAGGCCAACGATTCAAGAAATTAAAAACCACAAAGCAATAAATGTGGATAAATGTGCAGTGTATTTTAAATCCAATTGTAATTATTTTGTTACCGTCATATTTTATTGAATGTATGTGTGTTAAATTAGTAAGAATTTTAAATGGAACACCTAAAATTGCGTGTGTGGGTGTTTGCTTTAACTCGTGAAGTTTTAAATACCTTCTTGGAATTCATATTCAGTATTTTAATACTTAAATTTAATCTTGTGTAGTTTTTCGTCTTATACAAAATATGTTTCTGATGGTTTTGAGATGACCTGCACTTTGATCCCCGCTCGTCCAGGAATCGGCTCCTCCAGCTCATCCCACTGGGAACTGATGGGTGACGCCATGATAACTACGGACCACGTGCGGCTGACGCCTGACATGCAGAGCAAGCAGGGGGCAGTGTGGAGCCGCATTGTGAGTACAGGCCAAATGTCCACTAGGGGCACGTTTGCGATTTTAGGGCTTCTGATCATGTGTTTATTCAAGGTTGTATTCTGTCTGCTCAAAGCTGAGTTTGACTTCTAGAATTAACGGGTGTTAGGTTTTTAGAACATATTTAGCACAATAAGGTCAGAGGTAACAGGTTTTCGTATCAAATACAAGAATCGTATTTATCAAATATATCATAAGGACGGCTTAGTGGGGAGTACTGTGGGCTTGGTGGTTCCAACCCTACCTTTGCTCTGTGTGAAGTCCAAAGACTATATGGCTATATGGTGTCTATAAACTGCCCTGCCACAAGGTGGCATCCCATCTAGGGTGACCCCTGGCTGTGTGACCTATGCTGCCTGTAACAGGCCCCTGCCTACTGATGAATGGATGGATGGAGAGGAAATGTTTTAAGCATTACAGAGGTTTGTAGTCTTCGTATGACACATCCGTCTGTGGTCTGCACACAGCCCTGCTTCCTGCGGGACTGGGAGCTGCAGGTGCACTTCAAGATCCATGGCCAGGGCAAGAAGAACCTGAATGGCGATGGGCTGGCGGTGTGGTACAGCAAGGAGCGCATGCAGACGGGTGCGTGCAGAGACACGGGGCAGTGCTGGCTGGCCGGTCCGGCGAGTTTGCCCGCCCTGTGTGATCCGGCAGCTTCTGAGGGGCGAGAAACTGGTTCTTCCAAAAAAAAAAAAAGCCATTTTAGTCATTCTGTGGTGCATTTAACAGCTTACTACCCAGGGACTGTGTAATAAAAACAGGATAGCTGAATGGATATATATATATATCTATATATATGTATGTATGTATGTATGTATGTATGTATGTATGTGTGGTTTGTCCATTTTTTTTTATGATAAATCAAAGCTGTGTGTGTCATTGCAGGCCCGGTGTTTGGAAATCAGGACATGTTCACTGGCCTGGGAGTGTTTGTGGACACCTACCCAAATGAGGAGAAGCACCTGGAGGTATAGACCTATCTGTATCACCCCCGCCCCCCCCCCAACACACACACACACACACACACACACACACCCCAGGTGCGTCTTGACCCAAAGTATTTTGTGTTTTTTGGTCCCAAGAGATAAATGGTATCAGTGGCTGGGGAAAAAAGGAAAATCCACCAAATTCTGGCATTTTATGACTAACTTTGGAAAATATTTAAACATTTAAGGATTCTTCTTGTGAAATGTAGCTGTTATGGTATTTGTACTTGGGCGGAGTAAATCAAAAATAGGGATGGTTGTTTTAATGATGACATCACTAATAACCTCACCAAGGTCATTTATTTTATAAATAATAATAAAAAAAAGACTTTTAGCTGGGATGGTATGGTGCATTTTTAAGTAGATAGTATGGTGATCTTTGACCCCCGTTATAGCTCCATATAATGGTGCATGTCTGGAGTAGCTGCAGAATCTGATCGTCCAGCGCCATCAAGCGTTTGTTGCAGGGTGCACTGAGCACGCTCCCAGCGTGCGTGCGGATTCGCCCATGTAGCCATTAGTGGTCAGGGCAAAACTGACAGGCGTTTCTTTAAAGTGGCCACCTTGTGTTGTGCTCCTATTTTGTGCACCCTCTTGGAGACAGGCGCAGAAGAGGAGGTATACCCCTCGCACACAGGTACCCGATTTGACATGCCCCGCCCCCATTCCCCGACCTGCCAATGAGAAGCATGCTGGCTGTTCCCGTCATTCTCCATCCCACTGTGTGCCATGCCTGAGCGGATCGGGTGTTGGTGCCGGTTTGTGTGCCGTGAGTCCCCGACACCCTCCGTCTGCCAGCCAATCGGGGCGGAGGGTTCCGGGGCTGTGCTTCATCATGGGTGTGCTGCATGACAACCGTGCTGGTTTCATCTCCACCTCCATGGTAACCGACCCTCCCCTCGCCTGCTTAAATCCCCTCCCCCAACAGAGGATCTTTCCCTATGTGCTGGCCATGGTGGGCAACGGGAGCCTGACCTATGACCACGAGCGGGACGGCCGGCCCACCGAGCTGGGGGGCTGCACTGCTGTGGTGCGAAACCTGCAGCACGACACCTTCCTCTTCATCAGATACGTACGGCGCCGGCTGACGGTAAGACTCTGCTCCTATATAGCGCCCCCTGGGTAACGTTTCTGGGAGCGGCGCCCAGCTGGGAGCAGATCACCCTGGATGTTGTTGCCATGCAGAATTGCTTAATTGCTTCAAGGTCAGGGTAACGTGTGTAGGCCAGTGATTCAGAACCTCGTCCTCGGGGAACCACAGACAATCCACATTTCTGCTCCCTCCCAGCTCCTGCTACACCTGAAATAACAACCAAGAATGCCTGGTGTTGGGAGTTGGGAGGGAGCAAAAATGTGGACTGTAGGAGTCTCCAAGGGCTGGGTTGAGAAACACTATATATATTTTTTTAACCCTCCTCTCCCACACCAGCTAATGAGATTATCCCACTGCTTCGTAACCTTTGTTACGAATAAACAAGGGCTGTAGGCTATAACACCCCCCACCCCCTAACCTCTGCCTGCCCCCCAGGTCATGATCGATGTCGACGGGCAGCACGAATGGAAGGACTGCCTGGACATCCCGGGGGTGCATCTGCCGCAGGGATACTACTTTGGGGCGTCTGCCATCACCGGGGACCTGTCAGGTGACGGTTCTGTGGGGCTCGTGCTGTCGTGGGTGTGTCTGTGCATTTTTAAGTAGAACATTATGTTATTTATATATATTAGGGCTGCCTACGTTAACGCCATAATAGCGCATCAACGGGAATTCATTATAACGCGACAATTTTTTTTTAATGCCATAACGCGTGTTGAGTCGGATGGCAGCTCAGGAAAAATAATGAACGAAGAAAACTGTATTTGAATGGCAGGTTCAGCTTCAAAGATGGGTCCATCGAAAAGACCATAGTTATTTGCAGTTACTGTCGATGTGAAACAAGTTACCACCCAAGTACATCTAGTCTTAAATACCATACCAGGCTGCGGCTCTCCTCAGAACGATAGACGCATTTGCATTTTCATGTCTTAACATATTATGATAATACTTTCGTAAATATAAATAATTTATTTATGGGTTAATTATTTTATTATTTTTCATTTAGGTGTTTCTTTAGCTATATGTGAATGAGGCGGTCCGTCGTGCGCTTCTGTGATGTCTTAACTGTATAATTTACATCTTCCTCAAAGTCATTGTCTACGAGAGTATGTCTCCGGTCAAATGGCATGCTTTCCGGAGTTTTCTTCAGTTTCCGAGATTGGATGTTAAGTTTATTGGTATTGTAGTAAATCATCACCACACCTTTCCAGATTTTCGTAAAATTATTATATTTTCTCCGATTTATATATTATAGCCAGCTGAGTTCGGAGTGGTGAGGACATTTTGCACTGCTCGGTCAGCACAGTTACAAGTAGTGAAGTAGAGAGTGAAAGGCAGGCAACTGCAGAGCCAAACCCCCCCCCCCCCGAAATTGTATGTCTTTTATTTTTTGTAAGTACTTGAAGTTTTGTTTTTGTGTCAAATGCATATATACCGATATTGCATTAAAAAACACATCTCTCTTCTCTATCCATTGGGGCTCTTTGTAAATCTTGGGTCACCCCCCCCCCCGCTCTATAATGTCCATAGAGTATGAAGGTATGGAAAAGCCTGATCTCAGCCCAACTGACTGTCGCAGTTCTTGCGATGTGAGAACTGCATGCACATAACATGCGATGTTGGTATCAATATCGCACGTCGTCCAGCCCTGTAATATATTACAGCCATTTTTTAAATTCGGTATAAAATACACCGCCTAACTTTGTCATTCAGTGCCGGTACTGGTTTTACACCAGTGAAAAATCAACACCTTGAAGTATCGTACTTTTGGTATTTTCATGAAGGTGTGGTGGAGAAGCGCTCAAAGTTTTAGCTCATCCGCGTATTTTTGCCTAATATACAGCAAATTAATAATTTCTTTTTTAATTAGAGTAAAAAATACCTGGTTGGTGCATCCATAAAGGAACTATTATTTATTTTTATTTTTCTGTTGCATTCTTCCAAGATGCTGAGTTGCCCCTAAACACTACTGCAGCCTTATTGTTTATGCTGTCAGATACAGAGAAACGCGAATTCTGCAGGCATGAGATGGGGAAAAACGGGTCGAGCTCCAACCACAGTGTGTCTGAGAAGGTCTACTCACCCAGAACTCACCAATGAGATGTTTGCCCTACAGATAACCATGACTTGATATCCATGAAGCTGTACCAGTTGACCGTGTTGCGCAGCAAGGAGGAGGAAGAGCAGGCGGCGAAAGATGACGAGATCACGATTCCCAGTGTGGACAATATAGAGCTGCTCCAGGGTACGTACTTCCTGTTTCTGATGGAGATGTTTGCGCTCTCTATATACATGCCCCGCCCATTTTAAGAAGACACTTGCATGATTGGTTTAGCTGTCTGAGAGGACACGCCCCCCTCTGCCCAGCTCTCAGTTCTAGTACATGAAGTCCTCCCTTGTAAACATTCCCTGTACAGCACCCCCTGCGTGTCCCCTGTAACCCTCTCTGTGGTGACTCCCCAGGGGATGTCGTGGAGGGAAAAATGAGTGGGGTAGCACTCTTCTTCACCGTGCTCTTCTCCCTGTTGGGCTGCATCGTGCTGGTGATCATCGGCCTCGCCCTCTACAGCCACTGGAGCGAAAACAGCCGCAAGCGTTTCTACTGAGTGGGGATTGTGGGGGGGAGGGGGGGGGGCTATAGCGGTCTCCGGAGATCAAAGATAAAACTGAGATGGGCTCACTTCCAACCTCCACCGTCGCCCTACCCCCTGGGACAGGACAGCAGGTTACTGGCCTCGGTAATAAAGGAGAGCTCCTTCATCTCAGCATCACTTCCTCTGCCCCGCCCCCCCACCCCAAACCCAACCCCAAACCCAACCCCTTCCTCTGCCCCTGCTTATGCTATATCTGAAACTGGAGCAGCAGAAAGACCAAACCAGGTCCGCCAGATGGTTCTTTTCAATCCACCCTGCCAAAAAACAGAGTAAGTCCTCCGCTAACCCCCAAAACAAACAGACCCAAATGATTGTTCTGCCCTAATGTTGTAAGGTTTGGGGCATAGTGTGTGTGTGTGTATGTGTGTGTGTACGGTTGCGTGTTTGTGTGTTAGTTTACACTGGTGCCACACAGGATACCATCATCCTTATTTTAAATTTTTGTTTGTGTCTAGCAGAGGAGTGTTTTTATTTCTGATCGATTTCTCTTTAAACCCCGCTACGTTCCCTGTATGAGTTTTTCGCCTCAGTGTTTGAACTGACATGTCGTGCTGAAAATCGCCTCCAATGTCTGGCGCTGCAGTTTCCTTAAAGCCGCATACTGGATTTAAGTTCTTGCAATCCACACCAAACCTCGTGGGCACTGAGTGCAGACCGTGTTTCCCCCCCCAAGTTAGTGTGAACAGTTAAGACACAGGAGAATCAGTGCTCAATGCTGACTACAACCGCCCCCTCCCCCCAAAAGCTATATGATTTTACATGACTGCCTTGTGTAATTTCTCTGGATCTCTATGTTGTGTAGTTGCGCATGAAGATGTATATCTTTGAAACCACTGTTGCGTTTACCGCATGTGTCACAGCTCTGGGATTGGAGAAGTCAGGTGCGTGTAGTTTTTTTTCTTTTTCTTTTTCTTAATCATGACTGTGATGCTGGAGAGACTTGAGTGGAAAGGCAGATCTGACACAATTCCCTAGCAGCTCTCTTAGCTGTGACACAAGGCAGATTTCAGAGTGGAAGGTGTTCTGTGAACTGCCACTGAAATCATTTCCATGCCCAGTTTGGAGACGTCCACGCTAATGCAGCACATATGGTCTTGTGTGTGAGACTAATGGTATAGAAACTCAGAAGTATAGGCTGTGGCTTTAACGGCACTTCTCTCCAATCAGATAATGTTATGATAAATTGCCGTTCTCAGCATCCTATTATTATTATTATTATTATTATTATTATTATTATTATTATTATTTTCTTCCCTAAGGTGCCTCTTAGTTTGCATTGTGGTGGAGGTTTTCCCTTCTGGTAGATGCTGGTACCAGGCTGTGTTTGTACATTTTTTATTTTTTTTTTAACCAGCCTGGTTACACCTTGCTAAACTTGCTACCCTGAGTTCTCTGCTGTTGTGCATCTCAGTGCACTCAGAAATCTGGAGCCGTGGAACATCAAATTGGTGTAGCTCAATACTCGGTTAATTTTAGATCTGGGCCTAGATGAATTGGTGTTTACATTTAGCGTTCGCTTCGTGCCGGGTCTCGCTTGGAGGTCCAGTCCGGGAGCTCCTGATTTACGTAAACCTTCGGACAGCATACAGCAGTTGTCTTGCTCGCTGCTGTCGGGTCATTGTTACGTGTACGGTTAGGAACAGGGCAGCCCTTCAGTGAAGAACACCGTGTTCCACCCCTTGAGCTCACAGAAAGCCCCGGGAGACCCCAGTGATCACATTCACTTGCTCCTGGGAGGGAAGCCCTTCCGGCTTTGGTTACTTAGTCGTGTGTGGGTTTTTTGCCCAGTTAGTTCTGTGAGCACAGTGGTTCTGAAAAATAAGGTTTAAATGACACATAGGGCTATTACATAACTCAATAAGCCTCTCATACTTAAGACCACTAAAGACCTTCACAGCCTTACTGTTTAGATTTTCAGACATTGTGAACCACTCGTGAGCTGTGATCCTAGCATGACAGGAGTAGGGATTGCTTTCCAGACAGTGAAAACATGCCGTGTTCAGTAAAATAATATGACCACATTCTCTGCGAGGACCGGCAGGCTTTAATATCATGGGGTTTCTCAGGGGATAGGGCCGATGGTTTGAATGTTCACCCTAATGCATATTGATTGATCTGTGTTCAGTATTTTTCCTCAGCTGTGGAATTAAGTGTCTTGAAGAAAACTGAGCCTTTTGAATGCTGTCACCAGCTTAATGTCTGACCACCAGTGATCACCTTCTGGAACAATGTTCAACACTAGCTAGTACAACCTGAAAGATTTTATTTCATGTGCACTGATTTGTTGTGAATCTTCCCCATATGCTGCAGCACATTGGATATTTGTGGATCGAGCACATTTGTACTGTCAGGAGTCTCTTTTTTTTTGTCATGTTATTTAATAAAGGGGAGGGTTTTTAAACAATAACACTGGCATTCGTACATTTATTTGCTTTCCCGTTGTCTTCAGTGTTCAGCCACACGAGGGTGCAGTTACATTCAGCTCTCCCAGAAGATTAGAACCGGATTTGGAGTTGAGTGTGTTCTCTGCGAGCTGCGGATGACCACATATTCTGACTTGCAGGTCCAAACAGTTCGGTTTTCAGCATGGAGATGTTAAACCTGTATTTCCCCAAGAGCAACACCTGCACTTTTTTTTTTTTCCTTTTCCCCAAACAGTACTACCTGCTGACAAATTTTGTATTAAACTGTGCAGACATATGAACAGTAAACACTCAAATTCCCAGTGATGGTTCCTGCTCTGTCACCTTAAACTACAATGTAATATCAGGTTGTTCAGTCACATAGTCGTGTCGGACTCTTTGCGACTCCATGAACCACAATGCACCAGGCCGCCTTGTCCTCCACCGCCTCTCGAAAACCTGCCTAAACTCATGTTGGTTGCTTCATCGGTCTTTCCCTTCACTACCGGACGCCTCCACAACTGAGCGTCCTTTCGACTTTGGCCCAGCCGCATCTCTCTGTCTGGAGATACTTGTACTTGCCCTCTTCCTCAGGAACATTTTGGGCACCCTCCGACCTGAGGGCCTCATCTCCCAGTGTCATGTCTTGTACCCTTTTCGTAAGTCAGACGGGAGGAAGCCCTCTTTTTGTAACAAAGTGACAATTCACGCAAGTGCTAATGTGTTCAACTGTTTTATTATAAAAATAAAATACAAACCGTAAGCTGATGCTACAAAGTATACAACACATCAAACATCGCATTCAAAAAAGGACATTTCAGTGTTTGAGTTTTGGCTTGATCTTTTTGACAGGAAGTCAGGAGGGCAGAGATGACCACTTCCTCTTCACTCAAGCTTTTTTTTTTTTTGTGAAATTTGGCAAAATTACCATGGATATTAATCAACCACAATCAAAATAAAGCTTCAATAAAGTATATAAACAAGCCCCTCATAAAACATGTGCAATAAACAATTCCACAGTATGTGTTCTCAGATTACAACTTTTGTCACAGCCTGCTGGGGAAACGTCTGCAGACTACAGTAAGGCTGAACCCAAAGCACGTCCACAGTGGTTAGTCCGCTGCCACGGAACGGTGATGACGTTTGAGTTTCAAAACTGTTTGGGGTAGGGAGCAGACTAGTGAGGAAAGAGACAGTATTTATGAAAAGTATCAAAGATGTACGTTTTGTGGTCCCTACTCCCATACATGAACCTTCCTGCCCAACACCCCCAGTGTTTGAAGCCACGTTTTAAATCGTAACCACATACCACAAGTTGAAATTATCACCAACATCTTTACCATATTTTTGGGGAAGGGGACGCTCTTCTGTTCAATTCAAATCAGTAAAGCTGTATAGGGGGGCATTTAAACAAAAACAAAACATGGCTCAGTGCCACCTTAACAGAGGTAATGAGAAAGGTATTTACAGAGCATACAAACACGAAAGAACATGGCAAGAATGCTTTTTTTTTGATGACGCCAAAGCACCCCTCGAGTACGGTGCAGCACGTACTGAAAATATTGCTACCAAAGCAAACGGACAAACTGAAATATTATTGCAGCATATACCAGTGAGTTATAATTTTTGCATAGCCTAGTAACAATGTACAGTACTGAGGGGGACTGAGTGGTGGGACAGAGGGCAAGAGGTAGAGTTAAAGAGAGGGAGGGTAGGTGATGGAGGTGAGACCACCCCCAGGGTGCAGGGTGAAGGGGGGCGTAATCCCAGGGGGTAGGGTACCTGCAGGTGGGTTATCAGTTTGTGGAAGCCACTACTCTGAGTTTAATGCTCAGAGTAGTGAGGACTAGAATAAACACAGGTCAGTGGAGAACAAAAATAACACGCACTACACTCTGGTGTGTGTAACGGGTTTGCTGGAAGAAGGTACTGGAAAGACGCCCTGTGAATGGAGATCTGGTCCTGACCACTGGCGGGCCGTCAAAAGACAAGCCGCTGGCAGACACGTCCGGTCGAGCCGGCTGCTGATAATAGGTAGGCTCCCACGCCACTCATTCTCACTTCCGCCGAGCAAAGATGAGGACGGAGGCTCTTCATCTCGTACAGCAGTGTTCCCCAATCCGGTCCTCAGGAACCCGCAGACGGCAGGGAACCGGGAGGGACAAAAGACACGGACTGTCTGCGGGTTCCTGAGAAGCCGGTTTGGGAAACACGGCCTCATACGCCTGGTGCCTGGGCTGGTAGCAGCCAAACTGAACACAGCAGAAATATATACCACAGTACAGTGCAGGTGGAAAATATGAAAACCGCCATCTTCCTGTATTTATACACAAATAAGCCTCGCCACATCGTAGCATATGATAAGGGTAAATTTAAAGTCACTGCAAAATACATACATCTACTGCCCTAATAATAGTACAGTGTGTTCTTGTCCAGGACAAAACACTGCAGTCTTACGGAGCAAGACGAGAAAACACGCTGTCCGTACAAGCGGATGACAGGGCGTTTCTCCTACAGGAGAGATTATGCAAGCAGGAAACAGCTGGCAGCTGTGGGACCAAGTGCTTCCCCATAGACCATGAGCAGAGAGAAGAACAAGACATGCCTATGTCAAGCAGAAAAGGGGCGAACAGAACCCCCACCGCTCTGAGAGGTGCGGCGGGCAGAGTGTCATGGAGGACAGTGTCTGTTACTGTGCGCCCTCTGAACTTTTTTTTAACAATAACGGCAAAAAAAAAAAAAAGACTCCTTTTTTGTGCTCGTTGACGTGGTGTGAAGGGAATTCGAGGAGCGTAGGCTAAGCCTCAGGCTCTCCGGGGAACTGGACAGAGCACGGAGAGGGAGGAAGGAACAGGTAGATCACGGGGGGGGGGGGGGGGCAGGCAGAAAACAAGGAGATGAAAGGGAACCGCCGACGGGAAAAGTGTGCCTGCCGTCTGAAATGTCAAAGACAGAGGCGGCGTGATGTTCGTGAGTCTGCTGGTTTTATTAGCCCTTTTTGTCTTCAGTAAACAAGAGCAGAAACATTTGAACCTGGAAATCCTGGCTAGCAGAACGGGAGCAGTCAACTACTGACGCAACTTATTTTTAAGGTGGGGAAAAAAAAAAAAAGTGCATTAGTCTACACAAAGCATGCATTTATTTACATTTGTTACTCCCAGAGCAAAATGTTCTTAGGACAATCATCACACATCCATTTCTCTGGGTTTTCAAGATCCAAACCGATGTTGGGGAATAATTTTATTTTCAAAAGTGATCAAAAGATGATGGGAACCAGCAACCTCATCTTCAACCATGACCACCACATGTGATCAAGTCCATTCTCAGGATAAGCGAAACAACAGACCTNTATAGACGAGCTGTAGACATGGCACCGCGGGTCGGTGTCAGCTTCCGTCTACATGGGCAACAGGCAAACAAATTTAAAAGGCCACCCCCCCCCCCCTCACCCCACCCTGTGCCCAACAAGTCGACTCCCCCTCCTTCACCCGTGTTTATCATTTTATCTCCCAAACGTCTTTGAAATGGGAGAATTGGGGGGGGGGTGGGGTTGGCGTCCCCCATTCAGCCAAAGCCTCCCACCAAAAAATCCTGCCTGTGCAAGAAAGACCCCCATCCAGAACAAGTGACAAGGGTACAAACACCACCCCCTCCATGATTTCATATTTAGACCCCCCCCTAGAATGGCAAGGAGGTGAACTTAAGGACCAGGAGATAAGCTCATAGCTGGGGGAGAGGCACGTAAGGGGAGGGAAAAGTTACACACAGTTCCATATTACATTACTTCAAAACAACCAGATGGGGTGTGGGGGGGGGGAGAAAAAAACAAAAAAAACCACCTGCCATGGTTCCCATCAGAACCCACCACTGCAACCTGTTGTGCAGAAGAACTCCATAAGGTGTCATTACCCATAACCCTCGGTGGCACTCGTTAATCCACCAGGCTTGTGGATTCGCTGGCATTGTTTTAATACCAACCAGTGATCCAATTTTTTCTTCTCACGATGGCGGGGGGGGGGGGGGGGGGGGATATGCATAAGTGCTGTCACGTAGAGTGCTATTCCACAGATTTACACCATCCCCCCGCCCCCAAAAAAGGCTGAAAATTCTTGTGCTTGTACATGTCAGTCCTCTATGAACATCATGGGAAACCAACGTTACAGTTCCCCACCCCCACTACCACAGCGACATGTTAAGTTGCCTCATCCAGCAGCAAAACATGCAAAACCACAACATGAGTGACTGCCTGTAATGCAGCAAGGGGGAGGGGGAAGCATCATGAATGGGAGGGGCAGAGTGGGGCGAGGGGGGGTTCACGCCACACTCCCAAGCCTAAGCATGAGCTCTCAGTGCATCTTACAGTAGTGGTCTTAGGGCATAAGCCACACAAACATAACACACCCTAGGGACAGACCGATCAAAAGCAACACCCACACAAACGGCTCCTGATCTTCAGCTACAAAGTCACCGAACTCAAAGACGATGCCTCAACATTTTAAAGGAACCTCGTCGATTATATTGCTTTCGACCAAGGTAGAAGGTGTCAGAATTCACCCCTCGAATCCCACTACGAGCGACGACTCCTCTCGAAAGGGATGGCGGCCAACACCCACCCTGTCACCGCACGACATTTAGCGCCCCGCGCCCACAACGTGGCCCGGGCGCTAATTATAGACGAGCTGTAGACATGGCACCGCGGGTCGGTGTCAGCTTCCGTCTACATGGGCAACAGGCAAACAAATTTAAAAGGCCACCCCCCCCCCC